TTTTCATAGTGTCAAATTAAATGTATAAAGTTGGTTTATGTATAGGAAATGAAACAATTTTTCCGGATTTAAATCGCGTATATTTGTTTTTTCAAACAAACCGACGTTTCGGGCCTCTTACAGGTCCCATGGTCACGGTTGACTGAGGTGGTACAGTTTTCAACCAGTTATGTCTAATATTAATGCAAACCGCCCTATTTTTTCACTATAGTTACAATAGTTATTAATTAAATACCTATTTTTAATTTTACGAAGAAAACATTCCAATTTACGCTACATTAAGTTTTACAAATTATTTTATTGAATGAATTTTTATTAAGTTTAATTTATTATTAATTATTAATAGAAATTAGAATAAACTAAAACATATTAATTAGTACTGCATTCTTATGTCTGTTTGGGATTTTTCATTAAAGGAAATACTGGATCCCAAACTGGTGGTACGGAGAAACCATCTTCCCTGTTGAAATTAGGATGTTTTTTAATTTCAATGGCCTCTTGCAGCATCCTGGGTAGATAACGGACTTCTTTTGCAAGGACCTGGGCTTTGTCAAACTTCATTGAACGTGTAGGTTTATCCTTATTTATTATATATATTATTATTTATTTATATGACATGCTCGCAGACTGCAGACTTGTTTACGCGACGGTGTTTGACATCAGCTATATGTTCTTTGACGCGGGTACAAATCCTTCGCTTTGTTTGTCCAATATAAACGATTTAAATCCGGAAAAATAGTTTCATTTCCTATGTGTAACAATCGCGAAAACCTAAGAACTCGATTGGTTTATGTAATTATTTATTCTTTTAAATAATCAGAAAATAAATTTACCCCCATTAGCGCCCTTTACACAGTCACTCTATCGCGCGTGATCAGGAACGTATAGTTCGTTTTTGTTATAATGGAAGAAGCGTCCGTATAAAGGCTAATAGCGCAGGATAGATCGCGTGAAACTGGCGCGTGGTGAGTGGTGAGTGAGATTGCGTACGCGACTCATCAGCGCAATCACTTGGTCTTTCCCTTTTCCTTCCAACGTGTTTACACGAGCACTCAATCGCGCACGATTGCTTTATCACGCGCGATAGAGTGTCTGTGAAAAGCCCGCTATTGGAAAGAATGGCCTTTATTCAAGTTAGCCCGTCAGGATTTTGATAGAATCACAACATTATTGCTTTAAATTGTGACTGCAGTAATTATATTTAATAGGTTCGTACACATTAAAAAACATCTTATTTATTTGAATCACTTTTTTCAGTGCGTATCTGAAAACGCCGTTTTCCACTACTGCAGACAATAGTAACAACCTAGTAAAGATAAGTCGTGACAAATCGGAGTCTGAATCGTCGACATGCAACTATTTACAATTCCATCAAGTTGACAACTTTTTTGTTCTACGTTCCATGGAACTTTACTTCTGATGGAATAAAAAGTTATCTTCGATAACGTCATACGGTTTTGTGCTGGCTACGCTAGTTTTTCGCTCGAGTTTGGGTAATTTGTTTGATAGCTGTTAGTGTTGCGTGAAGCCAGCCGGAACTTGTTACGAATGTATTATTTTTATCTTCGTTCTATACTGATCAAGTTTCTGGAAGATGTACGTCGGTGTCAAAATGCTGTTCTTGTAATCATGAATCGACGGAGGTTACAGTTCTTAGTGCCTGTAAATTAAACATATTATGCATGCAGATTCGATTGAATTTACAGTGTGTTTCTTTTTCAGCCATGGTAGTGTAACCCGGGGCCTTACCATGAACTCTTATTTCGATTCAGTTTAGGACCTAAAATGAATCGTTGTGAGATAGCGCTACATGAAGTGTAACCATCACCATCCCGCTTTTTTGTTGTTATCAACCTATACTGAACTGTATAGTTAATAACTTTGGTGTTACCACATATATTAACACAAAATTTTTATTAGTATTTCACTGTTAAATACTCGATATCTTAGTATAAAGAAACAAATATTCATGATGCGTCTCTATAACAGAAAAAAATGTGAAAAAACATTTTTGACGGGATTGTTGACGTTTAGTGTTTGATGAAGACTTTAATTGTGATAGATGATATTATTAATTAATTTCTGTAATTATTACCTATCAAAACGATCGTCAGGATGTGCTTTTTCAGATGGTGTTAAAACTTTAACACTTGATATCTTATTGGGATCACAATCTTATTGGAAAAAAAGTCTTCAAAGTGGAGGTCATTGCACCTAGTGATTGTTTTTTGGAAAAAAACTTATTCATTATTAAATTACTTTTTGGAGTAAAATATCACTCAAACGCAGAACTTTAATCAATATAGGTTGTATTAAAACCTTTTGTAGGTCGTTACATTGAGTTGTGATAGGATTCGTCAATTTTCTTCCTCGCGACTTATAGTTTTTTTACGCCATATTCGCAAATTTTCGCGATTTTCGCAAATTTTCGCGATTTTCGTCGCTACCCGTGACTGTTATTAATTTATTTTAAAAATAGTTACGTATTATTTTCATATGAATCTAGTGTTAATCAATAGGTATTTAAATGCTTGTTATCGTTAAATATGTTTTGTTTCTTAATAAAGTGAATATACAAAGTGGTTAGCAGTTAAAGCGTAAAATACAATGAAAATTTGTCAAAAGTGTTCAGTGTACTCAGAAATTAACAAATAAAGTCATCGTATTACAGTCATAACTGTAGTCTAAACAAAAGCTACTTAAGTGCTATTATCGCCCATGTTATTCTTTTTACAATAGCTTAATAGGTTCTTGAGTTTCAAGTGTTTATATTACACGTGTCTTATCGCCGCCTGTAATATAAACAATAAAAAAGGTACCAACTGATTAGAAAAGTGACAGGAATCAAATGTCACGCGCGCCGGCGACCAACTAGATAAGAGTTCATGATAAGGCCCTGTTTATTGTAAATTCTAGCGTATATGCATGCACGTGTGTTCAAATATGCACAACCTTAAACAACTTAACGGTTGTCTATAGACTAAATACTATACTTCGATCAGTATTCTGCAGTATCTTCACTGTTGAAATAATATCGATTATGAAATATCCCGGAAAAGAATATTCGAATTAGATAACTCACAGGAATCGAAATTTGTGCAATGTTTTGGAAATTTTGTTTTACAAAAAATTGTGAAAGGCTACTGGCAATAGATGGATGCCATAAGCTGAGGAGCGAGCAAAATGGCGCATACTGGAGAGGTCTATATCCAGCAGTGGAGTGCGATGAGCTGTAACGATGATAAAGGTTACAAAGAATTTATCAACTACGTTCGTTTTACATCGACTTGATATCTTGCTAAGACATAAATTTCATTATTTTGTAACAAAGTTTTGCGCTTTGTTTTTTATAGGGTTTTGTCAAGGAAATTATAGAACCAAATGGCGTACATAATTATGTTATTTCTAACATAACCTAAGCTTCGGGCTCTTTAAAAATCTAGTGGTCACGACTGTCTGAAGAAAATTATTTTTATTCAGTAATTTTGCCACCGATGACAAACGGTATCCTTATAATATAAATAAAGCACACTATTTTGTTATTCTAAGTCCAATATAGACGTACCTTTAGTAAAAAACTTAAGGAAATATTTGTGCAGTAGCAAAAATTTGTCCCTTCTACTCTGAAGGGTCGTACGACGGAACCTCTTTGCTTATCCTTATTCGGGAATGTTTACAAAACTTAAGACTTTATTTACTAAAGCAGAAAAAAATATTACGTATTTTTAGGGCAGTCTGGTAAAAGGAAAACCGATTTTTTTATGATACCAAATGACGGGACGAAAGTGCGCTTAGTGTAAGTCACACGCATATCCGTAACAGTTGCAGTGCCACTCAGAGCTTTAAATCACAAAGATCTCAGGGACACTGAGACATAAGATGTTAAGCTCCATGTGACTGCAATTTCACCAGCCTTTATTATACCTTCAGAACCGGAACGCTATAATGCTCAATTACTGCTTGGTGGCAGCAATAAGTAAGGTAGTACTTCCCTGGACGAAATTGGATGTCGTTGATGTCCAGACATTACCAGTAATGCTACATGACAATAATAGACCTGAGATTTTTATCGAGAAATGTTAATTACGACAGAGAGAGATTTACAATCGATTTTCATTACTATGTAGATAATGTGGCGTTTGATTTCTTATGAAGTCTTGAAAGCGATTATATTTGAATTAGAATATAAAATAATTGTAATTATTCAAAATACTCACAAATCGTTGATTTTATTTATCATTTAATCAACACTGAAATTGTTTATTCCACAGACGCTCTTTTATAACAAAATATGACCAAGCGCGAAAACGCCACAGGCCATCGAGAATAGGGGAGGAACCCGGACATCCCTATTGTTGTTTTGATTAAATTTTCGTCCGAGCAATGCATATTGCTCTTTTCACTTTGCACGCCACCCGATGAAATTGAAAGGGACAAAAAATAATTTTCACGACAGACTAAACAGTATCAATGTTGTTCAGACTGAAAAATATTTGAATATTTGGAAATATTCAAGCTTTGATATACGTAACTGGATTTGGGTTCTTGTTTATTTCGGTCTGTCTCCAATTTTTTTAAATTTTATTTTTAGTAGATTTGCATTCATGTCTTTTTTGGGAGAAAACACAGTTATTGATCAACATAATTATTAGATAGATATATATATCTACATATATTATCTCTAATACCACAAGTAATACCTGCAATAATTTAAACAAACTTTCAAGTTATCGATTGAGTCAGTATCGATACGCAACGATCTCCAAGTAATTTGTACTATTACAGAACTTGAATGGTAAGAGAGGCTGCGTACAACGACTTCCCAAAAAAATCATCTAACCGTCACGAAGTATTAACTTAAATTGCACCGTTAACGCTCGACCGGCGACCGACTCGATCTTGTCCCTGAATCTTTTGCAAATGCCTTGCGGAACACTTTCCTCACTGAGTCCAGAATACCTATAAATAAGATGATAGATACCAATTAATCAACAGTCAACATGAGGTTGTTCATTGCAGTTGGTTTGCTTTGCCTCGTGGCAGTGTACGCCAAGGAGCTGGGCGAGGAAGAAAAAGACCTTGTCACAGCTGCTAGCAAGCATCATAGTTCACACCATGAGTCTGGCGGTGGAAATGAGCATCATTCAGATCATCATCATGAACATGGGCATAAAGGACATAAGGGACATAAAGGACATCACCATCACCATAAAGGCGAACACGGTCATCATGGGAAGCATCATCACGGAGGACATCATCATGAACACGGTGGCGGCCATAAGAAGCATTGGGATGAACATGATGAACATGGTCATCATCACGAACATGGACACCACCATAAAGGCGGCAAACATGGGTATAAAAAACATCATGATAAGGGAGAGCACACCGATGGTTACCACAAGAAATACCATAAGGATCACTTCCACAAGGACCATCACTTTTACGATGGTGATCATAAGACAGGAAACCATCACAAACATGGGCATCATCATCATCATCATGGTGAACATGGTGGACATCATAAGAAAGGAGGTCATCACCATAGCGGTCATCACCACAAGCACCATGGTGACCATGGCCACCATGACAAGCACCATCATGACGAGGATCACAAAGGATACAAAGGACATCATGGTCATGAAGAGCATCATCACCATCATGATGACCATGGCAAGAAGGGTGGTCACCACAGCCACAAGGACTGGGGCTTCCACCATGGCAAGCATTAAACCAAAGCATTTCTGTGATATTGTATTTGTTGTTATTTGTTACGAGTTTTTATTATTATTTATGTATCTTAATCGTAAGTGTTAGAGCATAAACTAGGAGAGCCCAATACTCAACAGTGGATAAAGATGGATTAGGGATGACGATGGTGTGTTATGAACATTGTATTGAAATTTTATAAAATAAAAATAATAATATTCACCTAGTGTCGCGTACTCTTTAAAATGTGTGAATAAAAAGCAATGAAGCTCATGTACAAGTGAGAACTAACTACGTTGTAAGACAATAATTATCCGGTTTCAAATTAAAAATTCCTTGTACGTGAATACCAGAGCTACGGAATTAATTCTGGGGCATTACTCTGAATATCCGTACCATACCGAATTCAGAAAAGTTAATTTCTCAAATCGCACTACCGGTTACGGAACCCAAGATCACCGAGGTCGTCATGAGTAGGTAACAATAACTATCATAACAAGAAAGATCACCAGTCAGTGACTGGCAACAGACTTTCAAACTGTTAATGAGTCTGATAAAAAGTAATTTTCTTTTTTATAATATCAAGACACGCGGGTAACAATAAACATATTTCGGCTCTGCTCATCGCCATCGCAATCCCCTCGTGTTAGTTGCTCGTGTAGTTTGCAACATCGGAGGAGCTGTCTATGCATTACCTGCCTCTGAGAGTCCTGGAAACATGCTTTTAGAAGAAATACTTCAGAAGGAGGATCATTCCACATCTTACAGGTTCGAGGAAGGAACGCTTGCTTCATTTACGTCTTTATCAAGAAACACCGCCGCCGTGCTCGTAGGACCCATCGGCCCTAACGACCCTATCACGCTCGCCAGGCCAATCAGGTCGCAACACACCCACACTCCAAACGAAATGACCGTCCTCACTCAAGAGCACAAAGAGCCTCTCAGCTCAGCGTGTACTGGCGTAGATTTTAACCCACAACTCGCCCTTCTAGCGGTAGTGTCCAGTAGCGACCAGAGCCGAGGTCCGTACCCACTTGAGTGCCCTCAGGTCGGCTATTTTTTCATATGGGTTAAGAGTCTTCAGCTCGCCCGTTTGTCCAGTGCCGCAGTCAAGGCCATCAGCAGCCAACTACAGAAACAAGTCATGTGCCTGGTGTGAAGTGACACGCCTTTCCATAACAGTTGCAATGCCATTCAAATTTTTGAATCGCATGGATCTCAATCTAGGTGCACTACCACTCAGTCCGTCACGCTGACATAAAATTATCAAGTTCTATGTGTCTATGTTCTCACATAACTGCTTGACGACAGAATAGGAGCTTTCACAAGGAGCTCCACTGTTATGAGTAATAATTTTACAGTTACCTTAACCCATCGCAGTATTATCAAACGTCTTAATACGAAGTAGATCTTAAATCCCTGCACTTACCTTTCAATCCAAAACACATCAATGTTAGTGAATAATAGAAATATGTAGGCCGATGGTGCCTGCCCACACAGGTCTGGACACTTGCCACAAATGTAACCTTTTTATTAAAGAAATCTCGAAATTGCAAAGGCACATACTCAAAAGTTCGTTTACTTTTAAACAGTTCTCAGCTCTCCTACGATCATAGACTTGAGCAGAACATGTGTTCAATATCCGCTCACGCGATGCGGTCCTCCTACCACAAAATGGCGGCTATTTGGTTTCGCAAATTAGAAGAGAATTCAGTTTAAATACAAGTTTTTATAAATAAAAATTATTATTCTGCATTGCTAAATAAATACCCTCCGTACTACCAACAAAAACATCTCAAATAAAATGCAGTAATACACCGCAAATCCCGCACTTAAAAAGCACTAATGAAATTTTTGGTGTACTTGGATAAATATGATAATACTTCGTTTGAGTGGTTCTAACGTTTACCAAGAAATTACTCCTTAAAGTATAGTTTATAAACATTTATATTCAGAGTAAATTTAAAAAACGCTACTTACGGTATGTTTTCAATAAATAAACACCGAAATCACCATCCCAAACAATAACACACACGATTGTCGTGACGTATTTTTAAAGTTGTTTATTTTTTTTAAATGACAGACCCAGGCATTAAAAGCTTTATGGTTTGCTAGAGTAGTTACCGAAATAGCAATTAATATTAGTTATTTTACCTGTTATAACTTCGATATCCGATAAATCGGTATAAAATGATCACCGGCTCCTCTAGGTGTGGTATGCGTCTACGGCTGCATGTATCGCGTGAACGGATATTATTTATTTGCATTCCACAATTGTGTACAAGGTGTTAAATATAGTAAAAATAATAACAATTCATGGCCCTTTCCAACATGAAAACGAAGAAGGGAAGAGAGTAGGAGTAGGCTGTTATCAACTGTTCCTTTGGTTAAAAAAGTGTCGATCAGAAATTTAATTATTTTTTTAAAAATAAGTGTGTTTGTTTTTTATGTTATCATTTATTCCATATTTTAATGGGTCAGGCAATTACTTTTAAATTATTTTGTGAACGTGACATATGGGAATATGAACTTAATCTAGTTCTAGGTGCAACCTGGGTGTTAGAAGTTTTATCAAACTTTAGTTGGGCATAGAAATTATGCAGAATGCAATGACAGCGCCACTAGTGTTGATAAATGTAACATTTTACGATTCACTCATTTTTCTTTGGATTGTAACAAACGTTTAAATGCAACAGCACTTAATTGTGCTCATCCTGATATGGCCACTAGATTTAATACCATAATATGGCGCTTTTTCAAAAACTTGTCAAGTACAATGTAATATCTAACCCTACATCTAACTCTACAATTTCTACGACATCTACGACAACATACGTAACTGTTTAGCAATGATCATTTGCGGTTATGAGTGCATTTCAAAACCGCAACGTTACTTGACTAATGACCGTTTTGCTGACGTTGAATAATCCACGAGTAGATATAGAATCTTGCAAGAAAGATAATGTTCCTTTAAAACAACTAATTACATATAATATTATTTCATCATGTTATTATTACAACAATTTTTAACACTTATGTAAATAACGGTGATTTTTTACTTTTATCTGGTAATAGTTTATAATATTCCTCTCGATTCCAATCCCTCTTACACGCTGTTGCCCGTTGCAAAGGTGCACTTATAAAAATGGCGTAATGGTTCCTAAGACAGTTTTCCTGTATCCCCTAAGGTTTCTGATTTACCCCACACCGTGCCAGATTAAAAATCCCACATGCATATTACATATTACATTAATTATTATGAACTGTTCTGAGAGACCTCATAAGTTTTACTAGCGGTCTAAGTCATAGATACGCGGATTCTGGTGGTGATTGTAAACAAATTTAGGGGAGGTCTATATATCCAGTTGTGGACGTCCTTTGGTTTTTTGGCTTGAACTGATGATTATTGAAAACGGCTTAACTATGATCCTAACGTTTCAAACAAATTAATAGCAACAATTAATTACAATTATTAAAGCGACACGTCTCGTCAGATGCTGGTAGCTGTAAAGGACCTGGTTGAGTGAAGAAATAAATTTCTTACTGATGGCGCTACGGCAAAAAAGATTCGTTAAAAAACCAAAATGAAGCACATAGAAAAATTTGTAAGATCCGCAAGTTGGTTCCGTGGCTTAGATAATAATAATAATTGTGGTGTTTTCGTGGAGAAAATTGGAAAAACGCTGTCTACTAGTTAGTAGATTTTATTGGAAGTGAACACATGACAAACAAGTTTTCTGAATAATATATAAGAACACAAATTTTGATTACAGAATACGAAGTACTATCTAGCCAGTATTTCAACAATAATAACACACACACTCAACATAACCCCACGCTAGGGAAACCCTGTGTCGCGGGTGCCAAGGACGCACATATAGACAACCACAAATTACACCCAAACTCACGAGAGAAATAAATGTAAGCCATATACATATTTCTCCCGGCCTGGGAATCGAGCCCAGGACCTCTGCATGGCAGTCCGGCATGGTAACCGTTCGGCCACGGAGGCAGTTAACTATCAGTTAGTTATATAAAGTGGCAGTACTTCCTTGAAACGATCTCTTTCACAAGGAGCTCCACTGCTACTAGTAGTGAAGTAATTTAACAAAAATAAATTTTAACTAAATAATATTTAATTGTAAGATCCCACAAAAACAACAACTTCAACAACGTTAACCGTAATCCTGTCAATAGTAACTACAGTCTCAGTTTCAGTTCCGTGGCTTAGGGATACGAATACAAATTGGTTTAGTTGTAAAACTCCGCTGTATGCATTTTCCAACATGGCCTTTAGAGCTTTGTTTCGTGTATTGGCTACTGGTTATTCGTGCTTAGGGAATTGTACAACGTTTAGCTTGTTTTGGTTGTTTATAACTTACATTATTCGCATTTGGCTTCGTAGCGTCACCCGTGAGAAACCAGGCACCTTTATAGCTACCAGAGGTTGACAATGGATGTCACTTTATAAATTGTAATTAATATTAATTTATGAAATTACTCCACTAGTTTGTTTTAATTTACATTAACGTCCAAAATTATTAGTAGCAGTAGAGCTCCTTGTGAAAGAGCTGAAAGCAGTAATGTCAGCATTACTGTGTTCCGGTTTGAAGGGTAAGGGTGCTGGTGAAAATACAGGCACATGGGACTTGTCAACTTATGTCGCAGAGTGACGAGCGCAGTGGCAGTGCCCCTCAGATCTTTCCGATTTAAAGCTCTGAGTGGCACTGCAACTGTTATGGACAGGTGTGTAGCTTACCATCAGGCGCACGACTTGTTCGTCCCGTCACTTGACATTGTAAAAAAAATCGAGAGCAAAACCTAAATTCAACTGAATATGTTGCAAGTCGAGTTTTGTTCAAATTGAATGATATTGTTACAAAAGTTTATTGAATTTTGATCTAGACGATTCAATTTGCTTTTTTATTGAATCGATTCGCTCGACAATCGCATTGAAATAAATCGATACGAGGAAAAAATTCGTTGGATCGTATAAACTTGAATCGATTTTCATAAAAATCGG